CCTTTCTTCATTTGTGATCACTTGAGGCAGTCGCTTTTGCATGGAGTCCACCAAGTTGACTGTCCAGAAGAGTTTGTCAGTTTCCTCTAATACATACCACGCCCGATCAACTGGCGACCACTGTTGAGGCAACTGACTGATCCCTGTTCCTAACACAGGGAGAAGTTTTCGATTACATTCAAATCCCAACTGCTGGGCTGTTTTTGAATTAATTCGACTTTGAAATTGACCCCTCCATGAACTGCATACATGTGAAAAATAATATTTAATTAGCTCTTGCCGTTTTTACTACCAACGTCAAGCGAGAAGATATAATAACCTTCAGCTGTCAAAAATAACTTCTGCGAATGCATTTTGAGAGTGACAGTTATCGAAAACCTGCCTTCTGATTGCAAGAAGTTTTGCGATAGCCAGATTAGTGCGTGCAGGAGACTAACAACAAAGCGCTCATTATTTACTTTCCTTCCAAATCGTTATGCGAGATGGAGATTGAGTTCCTTCTACCGGTAAAAGGAAATTCATTGGAAAATAGCTCAGTAGATAATCGTTCTTCGCCTGCTAAACTGTTCGTTGGCTACCACTGAGATAAAAATTTTGCCAAATGGACGGACGCGATTTGAATTTATTGGCAAAATCAATACGTGCTCTGTTCTGTTGAGCGTTCCATAACGGCTTCATACCACGTGGCTTCAGCTGCATTTCAAAGTTAGCCGTTTTCCAAACGGTAGCGTGATGAAAAAGGCTAAACCGACCGGACTTATTTCCATGTTGGTTGTGTGCAACTTTTCTCAGCTGCGATCAAATTCAGCCATCGTCATGCTTGGATGTCATCGGGTTTCTCTCTCTTGGTTTATGTTTTGATGGAGAAATTTCGTTGACTGTGCAATAAATCGGGCTTATTTTCACATCAAAGCATCTGCGCAAGTCAGGAACTGAGTCATCGGATTTACGCGCCTCTCGATTAAGTTGTCTTTCGGCTTCAATTATATGCCAAAACCTTTTGTATGCTTCATCCGGTTTGAATATGATGACAACAAAAACGCTTATTCAACGAGCCGCACACTTCAAAGTCAACTTGTATGTTTCTTGATATATATTTCCAGTTCTTCCAGTATTAGGGATATTGCGTGAGTGATTTTTAACCAAATAATTTATCAATTTATTTAAGCTTTTCATGAATTCGCTTATTTATGTGCACCTAATGAAAAGAGATGAGCTGTTTAGTCTTCAATGTAATAAACACTTATGAAACAGGAGTGACTTATTAGAAAGAATCAACTTCCATTCTGCTTTACACAACATATTTTCCAAATCTGAGGTGTAAATTTCGAACTACTACAAATTTCATCACGACACTAGGTCACGCAAATTCAAGCGGTGATGGAAGAGCAATAACAACATAGAAGTGGGAAATAGGAATAAATACACTTTACCCATAGTGTAATACTGGTAACTGAAATGTATTTCAAAAATGAGAGTGATGTAGGAGTTGAATATATATATATATATATATATATATATATATATATAATG